GTGTCTGTTTGCTCAGCTCCCAGCTGTCTCCTCGCAGCCTCACGGTTCTACCCAATGATTATCCCAGCACTTAAGGCCCTCTAAAGCCAGGCAGGAGCGTTTAGGGAATTCTCCCAGAGACCTGTGAAAGGTTGAGATTGACAGGCACTAATTGGGAGTAAGCTCAGGCCCCTCTGACCTCCAGTAGCAAAGAGCTGCTCTGGCTGTGCCCTCGCTGCTGCTGCAGTCACAGCAGAGTGTGGGAGTGGCTGGGCTGTCACCCACACTGATGTCCCCAAGGTCCTTCAGAGTGACCGCTGGCATGTGTGGGTTTGCCTGGGAGCTTTGCTGGGTAGGGACAGACCCTGTGTGTGCTCCCTCCAGCCGGGCTTCACCTGGAAACAGGTGAGATTCTCTTGCTTTTGCAGAATGGAGAAAAGCCCAAGGTCTGAGGTGGGACAGAAATGAGGGCAGTTGACCCTGGACAGGAGCTTCCTGCACATTCCTGCTCATGTGCACATCCCTGGCTCCATGGATGTTGCTGTGTCCCTGTGCCCACATCCCTGGCTCCATGGATGTTGCTGGATCCCTGTCCCTGTGCCCACATCCCTGCACACTCACCTGTGCCTGTTGCTTACTGGACTCACTTCATGCTCCACAGGTCTTGAATACAGCAGAGATCAAGCCCAGCCTGGTCCTGGCTGCCTCAGGTGCCATCCCAAATTAACCCTTTGCAGCTGCTGACTCTGGCTGTTGGCCTTTCCCAGAGCCTGGGCTGCTCATGGTGTTTCTGTGAAAGCTGCAGTGGTTGAGTGGTTGAATCATCCAGGAATGATCACTCACAAATCCATGGGGCAGGAGAGTCGCTGTGGCTGTTGGAGGAATGGATCCATGGTGGGGATGCTGGAGGAGGTGTCTGTCCATGGATGTGGACAGTCCTGCTGCAGTGCAGGAAATTTTCCACTCTTGGCCTGTGCCATGGTTCCAGCCAGGATGGGCACACGGGGCTGGACTGTGTGCAGAGCCACACTCAGAGGTGGCAGAGCATCCCCCTGGATTTCTGTGCCAGGGATTCTCATGGTGCAGCAGTGTCCTGGGAGGCACAGAGAGCCCCCAGAGCCCTGGGCTGGCTGTGCCCACCTGCCTGGGGGTCTCAGGCCGGCTCAGGGGGGCTTTGGCAGCTCTCTGTGGTGCTGGGAGGTCTCACCCTGCTCACAGGGCTGCTCCAGCTGCAGGGGGTTGTAGCAGCTCCTGCCTTACACCTCTGTGTGTGTCCTTGGTGGCCTGGGATGAGGGGGGAATGTGGCCTCCCTCAGTGGGGACACCCCCAAACCCTGGGCACAGAGGAGCTTTGGGTCACCAATGTTGCCTTGTCCAGGACAGTTTGATGCTTCACTGAGCATCCTCAGGGACAGGGCACAGAGGCTTTTGGGGGCCAGCAGAATGGGATGAGTCCATCCTGGAGCAGCATCAGTGCTGTGTAAGATCCCTGTGGTTCTGTGATCACTCTCCCTAGGCTGAGGGACCGGCTGTGCTCATCTCGCCGTCTCCCTGCACCAGGAATAACAGGATGTGACTGTGGGCAGGAGCAGGTTTGCAGTGAAATAAACGCCCCCCCACCCCCAAACCACCCGTGCACAAGCTCAGCCATGGGGGAAGCAGACAGAAAAGCAGCTCTTGGCTGTAAATCTGTGTCTCCTCCTGCACTGTGTGGGTCCAGCCCCTTGGGTGACGTCCATGGGGAAGGACATGTGGGAAGCTGCCACTGCCCTGCTGGAATTGGCACCTGAGAGTCTCCTCATGGTAAGGGTGTCTCTCCTTTGCAGCTGGGATAAATTTCCATCCCATCATTGCTCCAGTCAGGTTTATGTCTTGGTCATTCTCTGCAGCATTTCTCTTCCCTAAGGGCTTGCAGTGCTCTTCCCTCTGTGCCTTGATTAATATCTCTTAATTCATCTGCTAATTTCTTCCAATTCCCTAACAGCAGCTGGCTGGGCCATGCCCACATGGCTCATTTTGCCATTCAAGTCATGCTCAAGAACTGCTGGACTTTCCCCAGCCTGGATGTTCCTTCTCCATTCTCATCTCTCAAGCAGAGGCACAGAAGAGGAGGGGACATTTAGACCTCATTTAGGCTTTGCACCCAAATTAACAGGGCTTAGCCCTGGGGTATTGGTTTCTGCTCTTCTTGGCCCAGAATCTCCCTGGAGTCTGGGACATCTTACCCCTAGGGAAGCTGGCAGGGAGCCACATGCCTGTGAGTACCCCTGGGATGCTCATTAGGGGCACGAGAACTGGAAAGCATTTTCCGTGCCTAATTACAGGGATGAGGCTCGGGTCCAACTCGCCCCGAGGGGTGCAGGGGCTGGAATGGTCCCTCACTCCATGCCCTGTCATCCACCAGTCTTGTTTTCGTGGGATGCTGCAGGGATGGGATGTCCTCAGTGCAGTTATCCCATGAATCCACAGTTATCCTGGTCATCCACATCCCAACAGCCAGGATGGAGCGTGAACAGCCCTCAAAGCTTCAGGATGCTGTTACATCTCCGCAACAGGTTTTATCCCTCTTGAGGATCCAATCTGTGAAGGGAGGGGAGGACACCACCTGTGGGACAGCCCTGTCCTATGTCCCTGTGTGCTGGAGCTGGCTCTCAGCATCACAGAGAGGGGCTGCTGCTTTTGCCACAGCTTCTCTATTTTTAGAGAGTTTTTTGTGTCAAACTTCCCTTCAGCTGATGAGCCAATGTCATCCAAAGAGCAGAGTTCTGGTTCCCCTGCCCTGGCAGGGTCTGGTGTGACAAAGGCACCTCCTCACAAGTGTCACCTTTCATCAGGGCAGGTCCCTGCTGTGTCACTGAGCTGTTGGACACACGAGCTTTCATCCCAGCCCAAAGGGCCAGAACAGGCTGCTCTGCCCAGGCCTGTGTGTAGGTCCTTTTTATCCATTTTGTGGGGGTGGGGAGTTTGAAAGGGAAGTGACAAAATCTCAGCTGGTTTGGGCTGGAAGGGACCTTAAAGCTCATCCAGTCCCACCCCCTGTCATGGTCAGGGAGACCTTCCACGAGCCCAGGCTGCTCCAAGCCCTGTCCAGCCTGGCCTTGGACACCTCCAGGGATGGGGCAGCCACAGCCTCAGATGCGTCCACAGCCTCAGAATATTCAGACCTGTCCTTGAACATTTCATCTGGAAAGTTGAACTGGAGTGGTGCCCCAGAAGCAGCACTAGACCAGCACTCCTCACCCTGGGCCTGCCACGTTGTTTTTTACTGCTCAGCTCAGGACAAACCTGCCCATGGTTTGTCCCCTGGCACAGATGGTGACTGGGGTGGCAGTGTCACACTTGTCCTTGCTGCTGGGGATCCTCAGCTGGCTGCAGAGGGCTGAAGTTCCCCCACAGGACTGTGAATCCACACCTGAAACCTTGTCTGGGATGGTTTGGGGCTGCAGAAGGGAAGGAGGGGCTGTGGGCTCCAGCATCACCCCTGGGCTGGGTCCTCAGGTCCAGCCATGCTTTAATCCAGCCTATGTTGCCCAAATGTCAGCTCTCCCTGTCCCCTCAGCCTCTCATCCCTGGTGCTTGTGCTTGGGCAGGAATTTGGGGATACAGCTGCTTCCATCCCCTGGGAGAGGTTTGACCAAGGCAGGAGGTGCTGGAGTTCAGTTGTCACTGAACAGCTGGGCCCAGCACATCTGTCTAGAAGACAGGGGAACATGAATCCAATCATTCAACTCATTTGTTGCTGTGACTTCCTGCCGGGTTTGGGTCAAACTCAGCTTTGGAGCCTGATTTTCTGCAGATTCCCTGAGGCTGGGGAACACTGGGGCCACAGGGGCCCTGGACAGTTGCAGGATTTTGGGTGCCAGGGTTGCTGTTTCCTGCAGCCTGGTGCCATCCTGGATTCGGATCAGGTTGGTCCCTGAGCGCAGGAGAAAAAAGCCAGCACAGCCCATTCAGGTGGGTGCTGAGCCCACCTGGTGCAGCTCTCAAGGGTTTGATGGGGGGCAGAGGGGGCTGGACAGGTCTCTGGGCATTTTGGAGGCAGCAGGAGGGATCTGATCTCTGTCCCCTCTGCCACAGGTCATTGCCGGGTGTTTGAAGAACTGTGATGCCTGACGGAGACACGCTTCCACATCAGCAGTGACACCTCATCCAGCTTTAGGGACAACAGCCCATCCTCAGCAGAGCCCCCCTCAGCATGCCCAGGCAGCCAAAACATTCCCTGGACCCTCCCTGTGCTGCTTTTGGCTTGGGCTCTCCACTGGGGCAAATCCTCAAGGGTCATTTTGTCACCCCCTGAACAGCCCGTGGGTCACAGATGCTGCAGCCCGTTGGAAAGGCATCAGGGAGGTGACACACAGGATCCAGGAGAGGTGACACACAGGACCCAGGAGAGGTGACAGCAGGACCCAGGAGAGGTGACACACAGGACCCAGAAGAGGTGACAACGGGACCCAGAAGAAGTGACACACAGGAGCCAGGAGAGGTGACACACAGGAGCCAGGAGAGGTGACAGCAGGACCCAGGAGAGGTGACACACAGGAGCCAGAAGAGGTGACAGCAGGACCCAGGAGAGGTGATACACAGGAGCCAGAAGAGGTGACACACAGGACCCAGGAGAGGTGACAACGGGACCCAGGAGAGGTGACAGCAGGAGCCAGGAGAGGTGACACACAGGAGCCAGAAGAGGTGACAGCAGGAGCCAGGAGAGGTGACACACAGGAGCCAGAAGAGGTGACACACAGGAGCCAGGAGAGGTGACAGCGGGAGCCGGCGGTGAGGAGCAGCGAGCAGGGCCCTGGTGACTGTGGGGACCCTGTTGGTGCCCAGGACATCCCTGCACCTGCTGGAGCGATGCCAGCTGCTGCTTAGCACCCCGGAGGAAGGGATGGGGAGTCCCCCTCCTTGAGCACCCCGTTGTCCCCTCCCGTGCTGGCTCCCCTGGCCCCGGGAGCCCGCAGTGATGTGACCTGTGCTCAGCACAGCCCCAGCCCCGTTGGGAGCCTCCCCCAGGCAGCCCAGCCATGATGTGCGAGGTGATGCCCACCATCAGCGAGGGGGACCCGCTGGGGCCCCCCCAGGGCTCGGAAGCGGACGCTGACTTCGAGCAGCTGATGGTGAACATGCTGGATGAGAGGGACAAGCTGCTGGACACCCTGCGGGAGACGCGCGAGACGCTCGCCGTCACCCAGAGCCGGCTGCAGGAGACGCTCCGGGAGCGGGACCAGCTCCAGAGGCAGCTGAACTCGGCACTGCCGCAGGTGAGGAGCTGCCCCTGGCAATGGCAGAGCCTGCCTTGAGGCACTCCAGGGGGATTGCATTTGGGGTTTGGCCCGTGCCTCTGGGAGGGTTGGCTTGGTGTGACAGTGCTGACACTGCTGCCAGTGCTGAACCTCATGTAAACGGTAAATCCTGCAGGTTCTCTCACTTGGACATCTCTGCTTCTCCTCTGTACCCTCGCTGGTCTGTGAGGAGGGGTAGGACTGCAATCCTCCCTGTCCACAGGGGAATGGATTTGGAGAAGGGGCAGAACATCCCCAAGGACACCCCAGGGTGAGAGCAAGGCAGAGCCTTCACTTCCCGTGGGGACAGTCGGTCCACTGAGGAGCAGATAGCTCAGTTTGGGCAGCAGATGTGGCTTTCTACCACCAATCAACTTCTTGGGATGTCAGGAAGTGCTGAGCCCACATTGGCACTTCAGATGGGGACATGAACCATTAACCATTCATCGCTGTCCTTCCCCGCTGTGCAGAGCAGCCCCACTGCTGCCCCTTCCCTCGCCAGGTCTCCTTTCCATCAGCCCCATTCCCCACTGCGGTGATGGGACTTCTCTGTCTCAATCTGGGTCCTGAGAGGGGACACTGGAGGCAGAGCTGCTGCAGGGTGGGGACTGGGACATCTCAGGGAGCAGAGGGGCAGAGGACAGCAAGGTCTGTGCTCGGTGGGCAGCCCAGAGCTTGGGGAACCAGGGCTTGCCTTGAGGCTTCTGCTGGTGCTTTGCTCCTGGTTACTCCACCTGCAGGACCCTCTCCAGGTACTGCAGAGGCCTGGATTTGATTTCCACAAAGATGTTGAGGCTAGAAGAGGGTGAGGTGGATGAGCCCAGTGTCACAGGGCTGTGCAGGATGAGTCTGAGCTGCCACCATCCCTGTGGGGTCTCGTGGGACAGCACAGTGCTCAGACTTGGGGGAACAGGGATTCTGGGGGTTGTTGCTTTGCTCCATTGTGGGTATGGTGTGAGAGGAGCCCAACAGCCAAGGGAGGCAGGAGGCTTTGAATGTTTGCATCTGCAAACTCTGCAGTGCTGAGACCCGAGATCCTCCTTGCCTGGGCATTGGGGTTTGGAGCACCTTGGAGAGATGGGAAATGGTGGCATGAGCTAGGACAGAGCTTGGGCTGTTGGCTGGCCAGCTCTCTGCATCCCTGCCTTGTCTGTATGGAGGAAAGCAGCTCGGGAACAGCTGCTCTGTACAGAGATGGGCTAGTGCTGCCTCTGCCCAAGGTGCTGAGAGCAAAACCCCCAGCAGTGCTTCCCAGGAGCTCCTGGGCTCCCTGCCAGGTGAGTTTCTACCTTCCTGAGACATCTGCTGAGACGTTCCTGGGTGTTGGGTGCATCCAGTCTCAGCACCACCTCCCTGTGCTGGGGGCTCGGTCCCTGTGCTCCCCGCTCTGGAAAGAGCAAGCCAGGTCACCCTGGGGCTCTGCCCGCCCCACCACAGCCTCCCGGATTAAGGGATGCGCGGATTTAGCTCCGCTCCCGCTCCAGCAGCGGCCCCGGGAGCCTCGGGGTGTGCTCGGAGCAATCTGGGTCAGCACACAGGCAGTGCCTGCGAGCCGCTGGGTGCCTGCCTGGGGCTGCCCCCGGCCCCTGCAGCCCCGGGATGTGACTGGGCTGATCCCATGGGGGATTCCCTGCCGCCTCCTGCGGGCCCTGCCTGGGCAGGCGGCTCCGGGCGCGGCGGCCCCCGGTGTCCCCCGTGCTCGCTCCTGGACATGAGGGCTCAGCATGAACACGGGAAGTGAACCCAAAGGCGCTCACCTGCCCAATGGGATTAATCCCAGCATGTGCATGTACCAGGTAAGTGGCATTGGGACCGTGGGTGTCTCCCCGGGGTGCTGTGTGGGGACATCCCATAGGTTTGTCCCATTCTCTTCCTCCTTCTCTGTCCTCTCTTTAGCCCAGGAGCTTCCTGTGGTGTCTCAGACCCCATTGGGAATAGGATGCAAGCTGGATTTCTGGGAGAACCCCTTCTTTGAGGGCAGGCTTGGGCAGCCAGGCTCATCAGTAGTGTCCCCTGGGTGCAGCCAGGCTGGGGTATACACTGCCTGCTGAGGCTGGGATGGATGGCAGCTGGGGACGTGGCACTCTGCACCCTCTCAGGGCACAGAGGCTGCTGGATGCTGCTGTGTTGGCATGGGATCCAAAGGGACAGGCTGGGAATGTGCATCTGCTGCAGATCCAGGTGTGGGGAAGGCAGAGGATGAGCCTGCCCAGGGCAAACCCCTTGGCAGGGATGCTCCAGGGATGCTCCTGCCTGTAGCTCCCATTCCCCCTTGCCTGTGCTGCATGGCTGAGCCATCCCCACCCCCAATCCATGGGGGCATCCCTCAGCCCCCAAAAGACAGAACTCCAGGGTGATTTCCTGGGGAGACTAAGCTGCCTTAATGCTCCTTATGTGATTTATTTATTCATGTGGGAGTGCTGAATGTGACTTAATCAGGCTGAGAGCTCCAGCTCCCCTGTTCTGCAGGGAATTTGTGGCCGAGGTCTCAGCTCTGAGTGGGTTCTGGGTGCTCTCAGCAGTCCTCCGAGGCCCTGGCTTTGTTCCCAGCTCCCTCCTGCCCAGCCCCCCAGCTCAGTTTCTCCTGGGGGCAGGTGCCACCCAGGGATGTGACACTCGGGGCTCCCAGTGCAGGGTCCTCTGTGGGACAGAGCTCCTCCCTGTCCTGCCATGGCTCAGGGCTTTGGCAGGAGTCCCTGTCCCCACCTGTGTCAGGGGGATTTCACGGGGCTGGGGGCTGCAGGTTGTCAATGGCCACAGAAACCTGCCATGGTTCCTCCTTCCACGAAGCTGTGCTGCATCTTTGCTGCCTCTTGGGCTGCCTGGAGAGCTGAGATCTGACCTTTTTGGGGTGAGCAGACCCCTTAAGACTCCCCAGACTCCTCGAAGGTCCCCCAGGAGCTGGGGTAGGTCCTGAGATCAAACAATCCCATTTAACTTCAAAGTATACCTTGAGTTAACTTGCAAAGACCAGCAGGTAAACGGGAACCTCAGGAGCCCCCACTGGGTAAGACCCTTAAAGCATCTCCAGATTTTGGGAAGGATGGAGGGATCTGGGAGCTGTGTGGAACCCTTGGAGCTGGTTGTGCTCCTACAAGACTAGGATGCTGAGATGTTGGATTCCTGTTCTTGCCTGGCTGCACAGTGCTCCTCCCTGAGCAATCCCAGGTGGAAATACACACCCTTAGGAAGGGAGGACACCGATTCCCTGTGGATTCACACAGTGCCCAGGTGTTGTATCCAGGAGGTGTGGGAGACGCCTGTGCCCAGCGCTAGGGGTGGGTGATGGTCCAAGTCCTGGGTTTACCCAGCAGGATTTAATCTGTGTAATCCCATGCTACAACTGTTGGGGTTGTGCTTATCCCCTTGGCTCTGGACTGGGGCTGTCTCTTCATTCTGCTCCACTCCTGGGATCCACAGACTGGGCTGCCACACCGGCAGACGATGGATGGGACTCTCCCTCTCATGCTGAGTCAGCAGCAGCGATTTCCTGGCATGGGCATCCTTCCCACACATCCCCTGCTGCTCCTGTCAGGAGCAATCACTCCAATTAGGGACTTGAAAATGCATTAATCCTGCAGCTGGAGCTGGTTTGTCCCCAGGCTTGGGTGCATTGGAGTAGCAGCCACGCTCCTGACGCAAACAGAGAATTTTGCTGGCTGTGGTGTGATCCCTCTGCATCCCTGTGTGTGCTGTGGACAGCACTGGGAGAGACACAAAGGGGCCCTGGGCTGAGGACTTTGGCATTCCAGCTTTTCCATGCTGCAGGCTTTGGAGCCTTCTCCCCCTGAGCTTCCTAAACCTCTCCGTGCTTTTCCAGCCATCTCCACGCTGCTGCTTCCTGGTCTCCCTCCAGCTCTTCCCTGTTCTTTTCCCCCTGATGCAGCCTAGGAGGAAAACCCCAAACCCCCAACATGCATGGTGCAGTCTGAAGATCTGAGTCCCAGTCCACAGCATCCCACTTCAATACCCTGTGTGGTGTTCCAGGTCTCCCTCCCTGCACCAACAGTGAAAACAGCATCTCTCATCCTGCTCTATCCCTCCATCCCTCCATCCTGCTCCATCACTCCATCCCTCCATCCTGCTCCATCCCTCCATCCTGCTCCATCCCTCCATCCTGCTCCATCCCTCCATCCTGCTCCATCCTGCTCCATCCCTCCATCCTGCTCCATCCCTCCATCCTGCTCCATCCTGCTCCATCCCTCCATCCTGCTCCATCCCTCCATCCTGCTCCATCCCTCCATCCTGCTCCATCCTGCTCCATTCCTCCATCCTGCTCCATCCCTCCATCCTGCTCCATCCCTCCATCCTGCTCCCAGACCCCAGGACTTGGGGCCAAGTGCAGTGGAGGTTTGGTTTTAATCCAGACTGGCCCCTTCCTGAACTGCTGGGCTTCCTGCAGGGCTCCCAGGGACTCCCAGTCTGTGTCTCCTTGTCCACCCTTGGAGATCAGGCACCTCTCCTTCACTTTCTAATCTGTTTATAGGCGTCCCTGCTTAGTCTCAGAGCTTATCAGAGCTGGGCAGGCACCTCTGCCTCGCCTGGGAGACTCCTGGCCACGGTCAGGGCAGAGGAAAATCATCTGGATGCTCTGTCTCGACTTTGCTGGGATGGAGGGCCATGGCACACCTGTGGATGGGGGTGGAGCTGCACTCCACAGGGTGACACTGCAGCCCCGAGCTGAGGACAGCTTGCCATCATCCCCAACTTGCCTGGTGCCCACCAGTGACCCAGAGCAAGGTGGCAGCATTGGCATCTGGCACAGTCAGGGCTGACAGAGGTAGCTACAAGTGGCTGCTGGAGTGATTTATTGCTATTTTTTATTCCCAAGGCATCATACTCAGGCCCTGTGTACTCAGCTGACCTCACTGCTGGCCTGGCTCGCTGCAGGGCTGTTGCTATTTTTGATGTAAATGTTCATTTTTGCAGCCTTTCCCCGAGGGGTGCCAGTTACTGAGGGCTCTTTGATTTGCCATGGGGTGCTCGGGGCCTGGCACAGGATGTGGGACACAGAGCACAGGATGCATTCCTGTGGAGGCTCAGAGAGGAGCAGCCCTAGGGAAGGGGCTCTGTGCTGTGCCCACCCCTGGCTGTGACCTGCTGACCGTGTGTGCACCGGGCTGGCTGCAGCAGGGGCTGCCTCTCTCTCCAGAGGATTTGCTCCCTTTTAATCCCCTCTTTCAGGATGAAATCCTGATTGCAGGAGCATCTGCACAGCCTGGCCCCCAGAGCGAGGGAACGCAGGCAGAGGAGGCTGAGTGCTGGTGGTCCCTGTCCCCAGCACTGGCCATCGCGGTCCTCCTGCTGCCTTCGGTGCCCTGTCCCACCCATCCAGCACCGCCCTGCCCTGTTCCCTGCAGGGGAAGCACATCCAAGCCCACAGCCAGTGTCCCCTGCCAGCCAGGGCAGAGCAAGAAGTCTCTACCTTTGCAGGAGCAGAGGCTTTGGATCCTCACGGTCTTGCCCAGGTGCTGGAAAAGCCCAGAGCTGATGCATCCTCCACGTTTCCAGCTCGGGCTGTTGGAAGACATTCTCGGGGCCATCCCGGCTGCCAGGCTGCTTTTCCTGGTCTCCTGGAGCCCTGCTGCTTGTCTCGTGGTGTGCTGAGGGACTGGGGAGTGACAGATCCCTAAATCTGAGGCGATGCACCGGCACCTCTCTGGCTCATCTCCCTGCTGCTTTCCGCTCGCCGGCATTCCCAGCCCGGCTCTAATCCGCAGGGATGTTCGGGAGCTGCTGGCAGCGCTTGCATAACCCACGGAATGTGCACGTGTGCCTGGGGCCCATCCTGATCCTGATCCCGATCCCGATCCCTGTCCTGATCCCGGTCCTGATCCCGATCCTGGTCCCGATCCTGGTCCTGATCCTGGTCCTGATCCCTGTCCTGATCCTGATCCTGATCCCGGTCCTGATCCCGATCCTGGTCCTGATCCCGATCCCTGTCCTGGTCCTGATCCCGATCCCTGTCCTGATCCCGATCCTGGTCCTGATCCCTGTCCCGATCCTGATCCCGATCCTGGTCCTGGTCCTGATCCCTGTCCTGATCCTGGTCCTGGTCCTGGTCCTGATCCTGATCCTGGTCCTGATCCTGATCCCGGTCCTGATCCTGATCCCGGTCCTGATCCTGATCCCAGTCCCGATCCTGATCCCGGTCCCGATCCTGGTCCTGATCCCAATCCCGATCCTGCCGGGATCCCAGCACCAAGGAGTGCACAGCGGGCTCCCGGTGGAGCTGGGTCTGCCGAGGGCTCCCCGAGCCCTGGGAGCTGTGGGATGGTCCCAGAGCAAGTGTGGGATGGGGTGTGGCAGAGCTCGGTGATGAGGTTTGGGGTGCTGTGACAGATTTGGGGAGAACTGGTGGGAGAAGGGTGATCCCAGGGTTGGAGAGCTTCCTGAGGAAGAGATGGGGCCAGGGGTGATCCCAGATTGGAGTGGTCCCTAAGAAGGGATAGGAAGAGGGAAAACTGCAGGGCTGGAGTGGTCCCTGGGGAATGGATGGGGCAGAAGGGGTCTGGGAAGGAACCGGGTCCCTGGGGCAATGCTGGAGCAGGGATGTCAGAGCAGGAATGTTGGAGCAGGGGCCTGAGGCTGGTGACAGGCAGGAAAGCAGCTCTTCATGGGGACAGTGACCCTTTCCCCTCACTGTGACCTGCTCAGGTCCTGTCCCACTGTGGGGTCTCAGCTGCATCAGTGCCACCACCATCCCCAGCAATCCCAGGCTACAAACCCCACCACTGGGACACGTTTGGGGTGGGGAAGGAGATGGAAAACCTGGCTGGAGCAAACATGAAAAAGCTCTGGATTTCTTGGAGCTTCAGCTGTTACAGGAGGTTCCACTTGGAGCTGAGCAGAGCATTTGGTTCAGCCTAAGCCTCAATGCTTTGCTTCGGTTTGAAGGGGTTTTATTTGCTAAACCTGAAAATTAAAGTGAAAAAGAATTTCATGCTGTAAAACAGCTCTCAGCCCCCTCTTGAAATTTGGTTTGTTAATGCTCTGTCAAATCCTTCTCGGCTTCTTCTGAAATCCTTTGCCTTTTAAAACTCTTCCCAACACCACCAAACCTGGTGTGAATTCATGGCGCATTCCTGCATTTGCATTTCTCACCCTAAAAAATCCCAGCTGCAAAATCTTGCTTGTGCCTGGCACCACTGAAGAGCAGCTGGGAGCAATGGGCCGTGCTCCTGGGCTCCCCCAGGTGCCTGGGTTTCATTTTTTGGGGGAAAGGGAACCCTTCTGCATCCAAGGGACTTCAGAGCACGTTTCCCTTCCCCTCTGACACAGCCACAGCTGTGATTGTGGTTTTCATCCTGTCTCAAGGGATGTGTTGGGTGTGCAGCATTCCTTTGGCATTGCTCTGGGCATGGCTCTTCCTTCCTGTCACAGCCCTGGAGGGAGCGGTGGCAGCAGCAGGAGCTGGTGGCACCTGGCATATCTCCTGCTGTGTCCTGTCCCTCTGGACTGAGGCACCTCCCTCTTGCTTTTGGAAGGAAGTTTTGGATGATTCCAGGTCCTGAGGACATGGTTGATGGGCAGGGGACTTATCCTGGCCAGCTGTGGCTTTGTGGTGAGTTTTAGCTGATGGGATGCTCCAAGGTGGGAGCTGCATCCAGGGCACAGTGGGAATGGGAACATGCTGGTGGTCTTGACTGGGATTCTTTAAAGGCCACTGACCACCTCTGCAGCCGTGGAGCAGTTCCTTATGTCACTGGGCAAGTGACAAACCAAATGGGATAAATCTTGAGCTGCTGTGTTCTCCAAAGCTGTGTCCAAAGCATGAGGGAAGCCAGGAATGAATCCCCTCCTGGGCTGGCTGTGCCTCTCCACGTTCCCCATGGTGTTACCCTGGCTGGGTTTGGATGGGAAGTGCTGCTCTGGAGGTCCAGCAGCGGGGCTGGAATGCTGACTCCATCCCATCCGCAGGAGTTTGCGACGCTGACGCGGGAGCTCAGCACCTGCCGGGAGCAGCTCCTGGAGAGGGAGGAGGAGATCTCGGAGCTGAAAGCCGAGCGCAACAACACCCGGGTGAGCCTGGAGACCCTGCTGGCCTGCCCTCAGTCCTGGCACTGTGTGACACCAGGGGCTGCTGGGCCCATCCTGGAAGTGACAGCCCCTCTCTTGTCCCGCTGCAGCTCCTGCTGGAGCACCTGGAGTGCCTGGTGTCACGGCACGAGCGCTCCCTCAGGATGACTGTGGTCAAGCGCCAGGCCCAGTCGCCATCTGGGGTGTCCAGTGAGGTCGAGGTGCTCAAGGCACTCAAGTCACTCTTTGAGCATCACAAGGCACTGGATGAAAAGGTGGGAAAGCTGCTTGGACCTCTCCTGCTCAGAGCTCCTTCTCCTAACCCTCTGCTCCCTCCCTGCTACTTTGTGCTGTTAAGGTGACGTGGGGGCCCTCAACAAGAAAGTCTGGGATATCCCAAAGCAGCATTGAGGTGCTGCTGGGGCTGCCCAGTGGATCCTCTGGGTTTGAGGCTGTTGGGGCCAGGGAATTCCCCCAGGTCACTCTCGGGGTGGTGGCATTTGACACCCTGGGTCAGTCTTGACTGTTCCTCCTCCCTCATTTATGTCAAGCATCTCCTTCCTCTGCTGGGACACCTCTCTGGGCTATTCTGGCCATAGATCTCCAAGAATTTCCCCAGGCTATTGTCTCCAACACAATTTCACACCACCACCACCATGGGCTGGATGATCCTGAATCTGTGAATCCACCTGAGCCTGCTGTCAGCCCAGCAGACAGGCCTGGGAGCATGCCTAGATCCTGGGCACCATCATCCTGAATAAATAAATGAATAAAACAGCCTTTGCCGTTGTTTCACTCCCCTGCAGGTGAGGGAACGCCTGCGAGCAGCCTTGGAGCGAGTGGCCACCTTGGAGGAGCAGCTCGTGGATGCCCATCGGCAGGTAAGGGGTACCTGGGCACCTGCTGGGCTGGGAATGCCCCTGTTACCTTTGGGAGTTCATGGGGTATTTGCATTCCATCAGGTTTGATGTAAGGCTTTTGTTCTAAAATTGCTGTTTACTTGAATGTTTGTCTGTATTTAAGGAAACCTTGTAAAGATTCTGAAAACCATTTGTCTCACAGATGATACTTCCCTGTTGTTTTCTGTTTGGAATTCATGTCACTGACAAAAACAGCCTGAATCTGAACCATTCCAGGGGGCTGAGGGTGACTGGGGATTTTTCCTAATTTCACAGAAACCCAAACCACACTGCTTCAAGCGCCTCATCTTGCACCCCCATTTTCTTCCCTGCTGGGACTTCACTGTCCCCAGCCTCCAGCCATGGTTATCTCAGAATCCCAGACTCATTTGGGTGGGAAGGAACCTCAAAACTCATCTCATTCCACCCCCTGCCATGGGAGGTACACCTTGCACTATCCCAGGTTGCCCCAAGCTCTGTCCAGCCTGGCCTTGGACACTTTTCAGGGATAAAGTGTTCCTCGAGAGACATGACCTCTGTTTTCCTTCCTGGAGTTTGTGCCCAGCCACTGCTCCAAAAAGGAAAGAGCCATTCCTACAGCCTCTGCTGGTCAAATTTTGCTCCTCTTTCCACTTCCCAGGATAAGCCTCGTGGTATTTCCGAGGCTGCCAGGCCCCTCTCCTTGCAGAGACCATTCTCCATCCTCCCCTATCAGAGCAGGACATGGTGCTAGTGTTTATCCCCTGCTCCTGCTGGGCTGGGTTCAGGATCTGTCTGCCTGTAAACCAGTGAAATGAGCTGGGAGGGAGACCTGGAGTCCAGGGCTCACCAGGAAAACCTCCCTCAGTGCTGAGCCTTCCCAGCACCTCTGACTTCCTCTCAGAATCGTGGAATTGTTAAGGCTGGAAAAGCCTCCAGCCTTTGACCAAACACCCCCATGCCCACTGAACAATATTGTGAAGTTCCATGTCCACTTGTTTTTTGAACACTTCCAGAGATGGTGACTCCATCTCTGCCCTGTGTAGTTGTGCCAGAGCCTGACCACCCTTTCAGGGAAAGATTTTTTTCCTGATGTCCAACCTGACCCTCCCCGGGCACAGCTCGATGCCGTTTCCTCCTGTCCCTGTTCCCTGGGAGCAGAGCCCGACCTCTCCCGGCTGTCCCCTCCTGGCAGGGACTTGTGCAGAGCCAGGAGGTTCCCCTGAGCCTCCTTTTCTCCAGGCTGAGCCCCCCCAGCTCCCTCAGCCCCTCCTGGGCTCCAGCCCCGTCCCCAGCTCCGTTCCCTTCCCTGGACACATTCCAGCCCCTCAATGTCCTTCCCGAACTGAGGGGCCCAGAGCTGTCCCCAGGATTCCAGGTGTGACCCCAGCAGTGCCGGCTCAGGGCTGCTCCTCACCCGCTTCCCCCAGCCACAGGCAGGACTCTGTGCGGCCCTGGCTGCAGGACTGGCCTCACCTGCTGCTGTCCCCACTGCTGGGTCCCTGTTCCTGTGCAGGTGGCAGCTCTGCAGCAGGGCTCTGCCCGGGAGCCTGCGGCGGGCGAGCGCGAGGAGAGGGAGCCCAAGGAGCCGGCACCGAAGCTTCCCTGGAAGGTAGGAGCCCTGGAAAGCCCTGCTCTGACCACGTTCAGTGGGGCTGTCATTTCTCCCACCTCCCTGTTGCTAACTCTGGGGTGCTCTCCCCTGGTTCCAGCCCCATGGGAAATGCCTTTCCTGGTGGATACAGGCCATTTCTGAGGGGGGGAATTTGTGCTCGGGTGCTCCAAGGGGTTCTGCTTCCCAGAGATCACAGAATGGTTTGTATGGGAAGAGACCTTAAAAGGCCATCTTGTTCCAACCCCCACCACGGGCAGGGACACCTTCCACCAGATGCCCTGGGAAGCCCACAACCATCCCTGTTCCATCATTGCTTAAGAAGCCCTATCCCTGTCGTGTGGAGGCTGCTGCTGGAGGTCCCAGAGCCCCCTGTCTCCACTTCCACCCCCTCACCAAGTCCCTGCAGGGCCACATTCCCACTCTGAGTGGCTGCAGGCAATGCCACAGCCTGGGAGCTTTGGAGCATCCTGATATCCACCTCCCCCTCTGGTGCCTTGCAGCGTCTCTCCAATGGCTCTGTCCACTCGGATGATGAGGCTGGGCGGGTGGTGGAGCTGCAGGAGCTCCTGGAGAAGCAGAATTTTGAAGTGGTCCAGGCCAAGGAGCGAATCTCTGCCTTGGCTGCCAGCGTGGCTGAGCTGGAGGAGGATCTGGGCACCGCCAGGAAGGATCTGATCAAATCTGAGGAGATGAGCAGCAAGTACCAGAGAGACCTCCGAGAGGTAAGTCCCTGTCCCCCTGCAAGGCCCAGCCTGGGGCAAAGGCCTCACATCTGCTTCCACTGGACTGGGAAGGGATTGGAACTCCTGTTGTGTACAGGGGGTTCTCCAAGAGAGGCCACTACCTCGGGAAATTGACCCAAGTCCACCAGCAGGGTTTCCCTGAGGTTACAGACAGGCTTTCAGGTGTGCTGCACACCTGGAGCACTGTGTCCTCTCTAGAAGGTTTTCCTGTGATTGTTTGACTCTCCCTTTATCACTGTCCCATTCTGCTGTCCCTCATCCCCGTATCAAGGGGGGTTTTCACACCCCTTGGTCTTGGGGTGTCCCAGGCTTGAAGGAGCTGGCTAACCCTGCTGTTCCCAAAATGCTGTCACAAAGCAGGATAGGACAGCCCCATTGCTTCCCCAGGCCCTGGCACAGAAGGAGGACATGGAGGAGAGGATCACCACGCTGGAAAAACGGTACCTGGCAGCCCAGAGAGAGGCCACCTCCATCCACGACCTCAACGACAAACTGGAGAACGAGCTGGCCAACAAGGAGTCCCTGCACCGCCAGGTACCGAAACCGGCCCCAAAGGGTCCCCCTGGCCCGAGGGGGCAGAAGGGGGTGCTGGGGTGGGACACGCAGCAGTCACCCACCCTGCTGTCCCACAGTGCGAGGAGAAGGCACGGCACCTGCAGGAGCTGCTGGAGCTGGCGGAGCAGAAGCTGCAGCAGACCATGAGAAAGGCAGAGACGCTGCCCGAGGTGGAGGCGGAGCTGGCCCAGCGCATTGCTGCCCTCACCAAGGCAAGGGGCAGGGCTGGGCCGGGGCCAGAGGGAAGAGGAGGGAAGGGATTGGAGAAGGAGGGCAGGGATTGGAGCCGGGGAACAGTTCTGGAACCAGGGGAGGAGCTGGGTCTGGCCGCCCCCGGCAGCCCAAGGCATCCCGGTCTCCTCCCAGCTGGGGCCTCTGTGTCCTCTGCTGTCCCCACTGCAGCAGAGATCAGGCACCGCCTTTAAAGGACACCTCAGTGTGTCCTGCACACGTGGGGCTTGCTCCCAGGGGATGGCCCTGTCGATGTGGATGCCCTTTGGCTTGGGTGACACCACACCAGGATGAGGAGAAAGAAGAAGCACCAAACCAGATTTTGAAAGGGTGCAGGCCTGGAGGGAGGGATGGATACGGCCATCCCTGCCCTTCCTGGGTTCTAGGATGGTGTTGTCCCCCACTGAGCATCCCCAGCTCCTGTCACCGTGCCAGCAGGGCTGGTTTGGACTCACAGGGAGCCCTGGTAGGGATGCAGGCAGTGGGAGGGACCCTTGCATCCCAGTGAAGACTCAGATGCAGAGATGGACACGGGGATGCAGCAGGGCCCTCATGGCTTTGGGGAGCATCATCCGAGAAGGCTGCTCTGCTTTTCCCAGGCAGAAGAGAGGCATGGGAGCATTGAGGAGCACCTCCGGCAGCTGGAGGCTCAGCTGGAGGAGAAGAACCAGGAGCTGGCCAGGGTAAGTCCTGATCCTTGCCTGGGTACCTGGGCACACCTGGATTGCAGTTCAAGAGCAGGCTGAAAGAACAGCCTGGTTAATCCTTTCCTATCCAGGATCAAACTTGAGCCACACAGGAGCTTATGGCTTGGGGCATGTGAGGATTTCCCCTCTCCAAGGCAATCCAAGACCTGCTGTTAATATTCCAATCCCTCTCCTCTCCCAGCATCACACTCTGGGGCAAGCTGGGACCCCAAATGCTGGGTGGAAGGGGAGGCTCCAGCAGCTCTTTCCCCGAGCCTGGATCAGCAGGATGAAAAGGGCAGGGAGGCTGAGCTGCTGTGCCCTGGGCTGCACAGTCCCTTCTCCAGCTTCTGTGCTTCTCAGCCAGAGGCTGGGCTGCCCCTGCAGGAGCAATGCCCATTTCTCAGGTCTCCCAGGTGACATCACAGATGTGCCCCTGGGGAAGCCCCAGATGTTTTGCCTTAAGATATTTGAAAATCCAGAGGTTCAGTGTCCATTGGGGTCTGGGAAGTGCCCCCAGTGTGGATATTCCTAGCAGATACACAGGAGAAGCTTTCTTGAGGGGCAAGCCAGCATGATCTCCCTAAATCTTTTTCTCTGCTGTTCATCCCTGGCTGGGAGGTGGCAGAGAGCAGCAGAGCCAACAGAGGGTCCAACAGTACTGTAAGAAGTGGATTTGTCCCCAGAAGCTGGGCCTGGTGGGCCAGCTCTGACAGCACAGGATGGCAGGAGGGCGCTGAGCCCCCCTGGATGTGACACAGATGTCGCTGTGTCTGTCCCAGGCCCGGCAGAGGGAGAAGATGAACGAGGAGCACAACAAGCGGCTCTCGGACACCGTGGATCGGCTGCTGAGCGAGTCCAACGAGCGGCTGCAGCTGCACCTCAAGGAGAGGATGGCAGCCTTGGAGGAGAAGGTAGTGCCTGGGGCAGGGGTCCTCTGGGAGTTGAGGGGGCTGCAGCACCTCTGTGCCTTGTCCAGCCATGGCCCAGGGCTGGAAGTGCCTGTGCAGGGCTGGAGAAAAGGTAACATGCAGGACACGGCTGTGCTGGGGCTGGTGGAACACAGGGAACTGCTCCAGTCACCTCACCTAGGGAGACTCCTCCCCAGCACCTCCAGCCCCTCACAGCAGCAGGATTTGTCCCGCTCCTTTCCTTCACCTCCCTCTGTCTCTGCTGGGGCAACCTGTGCCCAGTTGTCAGAGCAAATCCCAGCTGCATTTTGCAGGAACAAATGCAGCGTTCATCCTGTCCCAGTGCCCATCCCTCCATGTGCTGCCTTAAAACCTTCCTGCCCCCAGGTCCAGACTGATCTCCCTTCTCCAAGCCAGGGCATTGTCCATGAACATCTTCCACCTGGGCAGCTGGGTTTCCTTGGAGGAGCCAGCTGGAGCTGTGACTGCCTCCGTGTGAATGGAATTAACTGGGAGCAGCTGGCTCCAAGCAAGGATCCACCCAGTGCCAGTGGGAGGTCAGGCCTTTGTGATTCAGCTTTCTCAGGGTTCCTGCCCTCAGCAAGTTGGAGTACACAGGTGCATCCCTCAGCTGATGCCTCCAGGGCTGGCTCTGTCCCCCCTCTGCTCTGCTCCTCCTGTCCCCAGACAAATACGGCTGTGCCAGCATGTCCAGTTGTTGAGCAGATGAACTGAAGTTATCAGTCTGGATAAAGAGAAGGACCCAACCTGTGGGGATGAGTCCAAATCTCACCCCAGCAAGCAACAGTGGTAACACGTTGTGAAGGGCGTTGCCTACTCCCCAGTCTGGTGCCAGCATTGACCTACCCTGAGAGTTTGTCCAGGTCTTTCATGCACAAAAATGATCCTGTTTGGCTGCCAGCACTCATCAAAAGTGAGCACTGATTCAGGCAGTTACAAACTCTCTGGGGGAGGTTTAGATATTAGGAAAAAAAAATTCAAGGAAAGAATTATAGCATTGGAATAGCCTGCCCAGGACAGTGGTGGAGTCACCATCCCTGGAGGTGTTCCAAAATCATGGATGTGACACTTGGGGTCACAGTTTAGCTGTGAACATAGCAGTGCTGGGAGGAATGGTTGGGCTCAGTCCTAGAAGGCTTTTTCAATCCTAACAATCCCATGATTTTGTGATTTTATGAGCACATCTCCTTTCCCTCCTGCCTGTTCCCTAGCTTAGATGTAAAGGACGTTTTTCCCCTTGATCCAGCTGCTCGAGGAATTGTTCTCTCAGCCATTCTATCTCCTAAACTTCAAGCCCTGTCCATCAAATCCCTCACTGCCCTCCATGGCCATGCTCAGCCCAGAGCAGGGCAGGAGTTGAGCTGTGCCCACCCTGCTTGAGAGGCAGGAGTTTTGCAGAGGAGACCTGTGCACAGGCAGGTGAGGAATAGCCCAGTGAGCGTTTTTCAGGTGTTCAGTACACAGGAACTCCACACTGGCCATTCCTGGGAGGCCACACGGCTATTTCCTCCTAAATGGTCTCTTTTTCTTTCTTGTTTTTGTTCCCTTTTATTTTATTTGGTTTTTCTTAAAGAATACATTGTTACAAGAGCTGGAAAATACCCAAAAGCAGATAGAGGAACACCAGCACGACAAGGTAAATGCAGCTGCAGGGACCTGAGCCAGTGATGGCATTGCCTCACTCCCAGCCCCCAGCTAGGGGCACTTGCACCTCCTAAAATGCCCCAGTTTGGGAGGAGCTGGGCTCCCAGAGCACCTGGCAGCATGAGGCCACACGCTCACCCGTGCAGTAGCTGGATGGGAGCTGCTGCCCCCCTCCCTGGACAGCCCTGGGTCAGTTCCCTAGCAGGCACGTTGGGTCCCATCTCCGTGTTTCTGTCACACTCACCCATCCTGAGCCCACTGGGGACAGTGGCGAGGCTGGGGTGGCTTCACCTGTGCATGGAGGGGGGCTCAGGCAGCCACATCCCCTTGGCCCCTGAGGCTTTCTCAGACGTGTCCCGTGCCCAGCTTGCAGAGCCCCCACAGCCCTTCACACTCTGCTCTCGGGTGAAGCATCTCAGGAGCGTCTGCATGACCCCCAGTGGCCTTGCTAGGAAGGAGGTGGCTTTGTGGAGCAGTAGGAGCTTTTGGGACTTGCTGCGTGTCTCATGCGTGGTTTAGGGGATCAGGAGGGCTGCTTTTCCCCTTGCCTGCAGGGAGAATGTGTGCTTACTCCTTGTGCTTCCCAGCCGTGGCTGCTCGGGTCTGGGCAGGGCAGAGCTCGCATGACACTGCTGCCACTTTCCTGGCTCAGTCTGTTTGTCCCCCAGACTGGATCCTGCTGTGCCTGGAAATGCCTTCTCCCCTCCCTCCCTCCCTCCCTGTCCACCTGCAGCCTCCCCCTGGCATCTCCTAGCACTGGGTACAGCCGCAGCTTCCCCCTGGGGATGGGGCTGGGAGCAGGAGGGACACAGGCAGCAGCAGCAGCAGCTTTGGCTGAGGGGTCCCTCACTGCAGATCCCTTCCAAGGGAGCACACACATGTGGTCTGGAGCAGAACCAGAGCATCCAAGTGGGACCTGTTTTCCTTCATCTCCCAAAGCAGAATTCCTTGAGCACCTGTGTCTCTCTGTCCTGGTCTTCCCTCCCCAGCACCCTCATTCCCTGTGCCTGCATGAGCTGTTTCTTTACTGATGTGTCCAGGATGCTTTAAACCTGAAGTGGGGATGTGTAAAGGGAATGTAAACTTGGCAGTAGCCAAGCATGTGGATTACCCCAAACCTGGCAGCTGCCCAGAGCAAAGCCCAGCCCTGCCTGTCTCACCCCCCAAACAGCGGCGTCTGTCCGACGAGATCGACAAGCTGAGGCTGGAGGTGGATCAGCTCAAGACCAGGAGTGGGACGTTTGTGGAGAGTGTGCACACCAGGTAAGTGCCAGGGCAAACCCCTGCAGCCCTGGCTTTGGGGGGAGTTTGCTTTGGGGACCACAAAGTGCTGCTGTCACTGGGTGTTTCTGGTGCCCCAGGCTTCAAGGGGGGTGCTCCATTCACTGCCCCCCTTTCTGTGTCTCTCCTGCTTTCCCCCTTGCAATCAGCCCTTGGGGACCTGGGCTGCAGGGTCCTCACAGCAGGGGCAGCTCCAGCCCTGGATCCACCGTGGATCTGTCCTGGGGTGGGACACAGACTCTTGAGAACAGCCCAGCCCAACTGAATGACCCCAAATTTGCTCTTGTAAGGGTGAGAAACCACTGGGCATTGTTTCTTTTTCTACACGAGTGGCTTAGGACTTACTTTGCTCTAAAAGCTGGATATTCACCCAAGGACTTTCCCCCTGTAGCACAGGGGATGGGCTGGTGCAGAAGGAGGAATTCCTCTGGAGCTGTTGCAGGCAAAGGAGAATGAAGTTCCTCTTTCTCTAATGCAATGGTCCTCCCACACCCTTTCATTTAAAGTCAGCTGGGACATGGGGACGTCCCAGCCCAGGGCACCAGAAACAGAGGTGAGTCCATCGAGTCTCAGCCTCCAGCACTCACCAGGATACCCAGACCTGCTCCAGGAAAGCCAGAGTGGAAAAGGAGGGTGACAGCACAATAGCTCTGCCCTGAGCACTTCCAGTGTGGGGTCAAAGCAGCAGGGGCTCAATGGGAGCAACCAGAGAAGAAAATTCCCCTCAGAAAGGCTGGAAAAGGTGGGGAGGAGCTGGTGCAAGCAGCTTTGGGTCTGTCAGCAGGGGGAAGAAGGTCTGGAGACCCTATGTCTGTCATGGAGAGAAGAAATGGGGAGGGTGAGGAAGAGCCTGTGAGGATGAAGGAGAGCTGAGTGCTGGAGCAGAGTCTGGAGCACGTGTGGGAACTCTCTGCATGCGTCTTTACAGCAGGATGGACAATTTGGTCATTTTTTGTATTTCTCATATGAAAATCAGCAGAAATCTTGAGTTGCAGAACGATCCCCCAGCTGAAAAAAACTGTCAGCTTTTGTCTAAGGTGTTTTTATCTGGTTTTAGCTGGGCAGCAGCTTGTCAGTAGTTCTGAAATCCCTGGAACTTGGGTTGTGCCTTCGTCTGACACACCAGGCTGGCCCAGCAGTGCTGCTTGTGGTGCTGATTTTATCTCCAGGCCTGTATCTGCACTGCAAACCAGGCCCACCATGGTGGAAGACCACCATGTGCCTGGGGCTGCTGCTTTTGTCATCTTAAATTCACTTAAACTAAACAAACCTCGCGTCTCCAATGACACTGAAGGTGGGGATAATCACCCCGTGCCCAGGAAGGTGTCTGGCTCACATCCATGGTTGGGTCTTCAGGGCCAAGAGGAACAACCAGGCAAAGTAGAGACATGGAATGAGCACCTCACCTTAGGGTTAGGGTTAGGGTTAGGGTTAGGGTTAGGGTTAGGGTTAGGGTTAGGCTCAGCTCAAAGTGTCCTCGTGTCCTGCTGCTGCCATGCTCGGCCTGGTATGGCACTTACCAGGTCCTGGTCCCAAGCACCAGCCCTGGCAGGGAGGAGGAGGGTGAAGAAATCCCAGCTGGTTTCTGCTAGGAGATCCTAACAATGCTCATGTCCTCATACCTGGAAGATGTTTCAGGTGGAATTTTATTCATTGAAATCACTGAATCATTAAGGTTGGAAAAGTCCTCCAAAGTCATTGAGTCCAACCTTCACCCAACCACCAACATTCCCACTAAATCACATCACAAATTGCCACATCTACCATTTTTTTGAACACCTCCAGGGTTGGGAACTCCACCACTGCCCTGGGCAGCCTGTGCCAGGGCCTGACCACCCTTTCCATTAAAAAAATTTTCCCAATATCCAACCTGAACCTCCCCTTGAGGCTGTTTCCCCTCATCCTGTTACTCACTGCCTGGGAGGAGAAACAGATTCTCATCAGGATACTTTCTCATGAAAATGTTGGAATAAACACAGAAGGGAGAAGAGCTCCCTGGCTGGCTCCTGCTGGGTACATGGGGATGGAGAGGACACAAGTTATGTTGAGATTTCAGCTGCTGTGGGGAGGGAGGGGCAGGAGGAGCCTGTTCAGCCCCCAGTGCAGGGAGTTTTGGGCAGAAGTGGCTGGATGCCCTGGTGGGTGCCCAGAGAAGGGGGAGGCAGCAGCAGGGGAAGGCCCAGGGCTGAACTTCTGACAGTGTGGGAAAGCTGGAGTCTCCTGGGATCAAAGGTCACCAGGGGCTGCAGCTCCTCATGAGGGGCAGCTCTGATCTCTGCTCTCTGAGCAGGGACAGCACCCAGGGAAGGGCTGGAGCTGTGCCAGGGCAGGCTCAGGCTGGAGATCAGGGAAAGGTTCTTCCCCCTGAGGGTGCTGGCACTGCCCAGGCTCCCCAGGGAATGGGCACAGCCCCGAGGCTGCCAGAGCTCCAGGAGTGTTTGGACAAGGCTCTCAGGGGTGCACAGGGTGGGATTGTTGGGGTGTCTGTGCAGGGCAGGGGTTGGACTTGATTGTTGAGGGTCCCTTCCAGCTCAGGATATTCTGATTCAATTATTCTGTGAGTGCATTTCCAGGTCCCCTGTGGGGGAATGGGACACCTTTTTCCAGAGCCTGGATTTGCATCCTTTCATGCTGAGCAGGCAAACGTTACTGGGATGGGCATCCCGCAGTGGTCTCCTCCTCCTCCTCCCCCTCCTCCTGCTCTTTCTTCTCTGTCCCAGAAAGCCTGGACTTTAAGGGGAGCAGCCTGAGTGTGAGTGTGTCCTGCACAGAGCAATGTTCCCCACAGGGCTCTCTCTTCTCAGGTCCCACATGGGCAGTGCCACCGACCTGCGCTTCCCACTGGGAGCTGTGGTCCACGCCCCAGCCGAGCCCTTCGGAGCAGCTCCGGGGCTGCCCCGGGCACAGAAGGGACGATTCGGTGCCCGGAGAGAGGAGCCAGCCAAGGTAAACCCTGTTTACCCAGTGCTAGGGTCTGCTCCTGCCCTGCATCCTGGGGTTGGGGTCAGACTGGAGATGTGGGGCAGTTTCCTTCCCCTGCTGCATTCATGGGGGAACATCGGAAGGGTTTCCCATTAGGGTCACATTGAGATGGAATTCCTGCATGGAGGTCGCCAGTCTGGCTTTTGGAGACGTGGGAATGCTGTGTAGGACTGTGGCCCTTGTTCCCCCAGGACTGGGAGCAGGCCCAGGCAGGTGGGGTCCTGGCCACGGGGCCTCACGCCTTCGACAGCGACCCCGACATCTCCGACATGGATGAGGACGACCGCGAGACGCTGTTCAGCTCCATGGATGTCCTCTCTCCTGGTGGGCATTCAGATGCTCAGACATTGGCCATGATGCTTCAGGAGCAGCTGGATGCCATCAACGAAGAGATCAGGTATCACCATGGCCAAAACCCACCACTGCCTTGTGCAGAAATGGCACCAGGGGGACAAAAAATAGCCAGGAGACTCTGCTGCTAAAACTGGGGCCTTGGTGTGTCTTCAGCCGGGGAAGTGGCTCTAGGACATCCAGCCACAGGGCTTGGTCCTTCTGCCATGTCTCCCTCAGCTGCACCAGTGCTGGCTCAGAGGGTCATTATTTCAAAGGATCATTATTTTATATAAAATCCTTTATGGATATTTAAAGGAATCGGGGTGTGTCTCAGCTCTGGTTCTTATGGATCCTGATGGATCTTGCTGCCATTCCTGGAGATCAGGGGTTAAGGTGCTGTTCCCCAGGGCAGAGGTTCTGTGTCCCTGGGAAGATGGGGAACCAGGAGCCCTGAGCTCCGCTGCTCCCCCAGGATGATCCAGGAGGAGAAGGAGTCCACGGAGCTCCGCGCAGAGGAGCTGGAGACACGGGTCACGAGCGGCAGCATGGAGGGCCTGAACCTCACCCAGCTGTGCAAGAGGGCCTCCATCCCCACCTCTCTGACAGCCCTGTCCCTGGCCAGCTCATCCCCACCGCTCAGCGGCCGCTCCACGCCCAAGCTGAGCTCCCGCAGCGCCGCGCAGGACCTGGACCGCATGGGGATCATGACGTTGGTGAGGAGCCGGAGGGGCCGGGGCTGGCGGGGGTCTGGCTGTGAGGTGGGAGCGATGCCCAGTGTCCACACGGGCTCGTGGGGGGTGTGGGACAACGGGGTGCCCGTGTTTGCTGTCTCCAGCCTGGCAGCCTGGCCCTGGGACTGCTCTGGGGGCGTGCTCCATTAACTGCCCCCTTTCTGTGTCTCTCTCGCTTTCCCCCTTGCAATCAGCCCAGCGACTTGAGGAAGCACCGGAGGAAACTGCTAGTGAGTGGCTCCCATCCCGTTGGTTTTTGTCCAAGCCCTTTTTCCAGCCTGCTCCTGGCTTTGTCCACACCAGGTCAGGGTGCAGCAGGCGCGGGATGGAGCTGGGGACCCCAGGGATTCAGCAGGAGGATCATGGGGATCCCGAAAGGTGCTTGGACGTATTCCCGCCGGCAGCCTGGGGGGGCTGGCAGGACTTGGGGAGGTTCAGAAAGCCACTGGGTCCTCAAACGCTGCGTCCCCTCTGGCAACAGGGTGTCCTTGGGACATTTCCATCTGTGCTTCTCAGAGCCCTCTGACGAGGACCAGCAGTTTCTGTCCCCGCACCCTGACCTGGACCATGGGGCTGCATCCTCTCACCCCCCATTCCCAGGATCTCAGCCATACTGCCACATCCTCCCCATCCGCTTGGGCAGCTGGAGCCATTGCCAGAGCTCTCATTCAGGCCATTCCTGGAGCGTGGCAAAGCCCCAGGCCTCTGGTGGCTCTTTTGGCCATGCCTCCATGGAGCAAGAGAGAGGCAGGCAGCAGGGCAAGGATGGAGCTGGGCTCTGGCCTCCCACCCTCACGGCCTCTCCTCTTGTTCAGTCGCCTGCAGCTCGGGATGAGAGCCGGGAGGACAAAACCACCATCAAGTGTGAGACGTCCCCGCCATCGTCACCCAGAACACTGCGGCTGGAGAAGCTGGGCCACCCTGCCCTGAGCCAGGATGATGGCAAGAGGTGTGTGGAGACCCTTGGCATCCCACTTGAGGGCATTCCTGGGGCACACATGGCATGTGGGGCGGGCTGGGGTTTGCCATGGCTTGTGCCCTGCTCCAGAATAACCTAAAGGCTTTGCTCTTCCTCTCCCTCCTCCATCCCCAGCTCGCTGGAGGAGCAGGCCAGCAATCCCAGCAGCAGCCAGGACTCCTTGCACAAGGGTTCCAAGAGGAAGGGGATCAAGTCTTCCATCGGGCGCCTGTTTGGGAAGAAAGAGAAGGGTCGCTTGATCCAGCTGAGCAGAGAAGGGGCCACGGGGCAGGGTCCGTGAGCAGCCCTGTCCCTGTGCCAGGCTCCCCACACCCTCTGGCTCTGTCTGCCACTGGGGGGCTGTTGGGGTGATGGGGAGGGGCAGGGACACCTCCTGCTGGTTTGGGGGTGTTGGCAGCTCCAGGGAAGATGGAGCTTAGTGTTTTCTCCCCTTGGCCTCTCTGGCCTGAGCATGGTGTCATCTTAATGCTCTGTCAGAGCTGGGGTGTGGACAGTGACCTCCTATCTGTCACGTATCTCATCTTTAGTGTCCCCAAATCTACTTCCCTCCCTATGGATTTTGGTAGGAGCTGATTTTCCACTCCTAAATCCTTTACTGCTTCCATGCTGAGCATTGTTGGACTCAGTGATCTGTCTGGGTCCCTTGCAGAAGGGACTGTTCAGTGACTTTGGGATTCTGGGATTTGGAAACCAGGAGGGATGGCAGGAGGGGGTCTGCTCGAGCTTCTGAGGGATGCAGGGGGCCATGGGGCAGGCTGGAAAGGGACACTCGCCTCCTGTGCTGTCACTGTGTGTCCCCCTGGTGTGGGGACATGCCCACACTGGCCCTGGGGGAGGTCACACTGACCTGAGGGTGTCTTGCTTGCCCAGCAGTGCTGCTGACTGACGTGGAGGGAGGCATCCAGGACCCCCTGGGACTGGGCAAGCTGGGGGCTCAGGCCGAGAAGGACCGGCGCCTGCGGAAGAAGTGAGTGAACCTCCTTCTGTACCCCAGCGAGAAACTGATCTCCTGGGAATCCGTGGCACAGGACTAGGAATTGCTGGGAGCTCTCACCTTCACCCTCCCTTGGGCCTTGTCACTTCCTTCACAGATTTGTCTCCAGCTGCTCCCTACTGCCCAGGGTCCATTCCCTTCCAGGAACTCTCCCTTCCCCACAAGCCCCCATAAATCACATTTCTGCTTCTGTTCCTGCCAGGCATGAACTCCTGGAAGAGGCTCGGAGGAAAGGATTGCCCTTTGCCCACTGGGATGGCCCCACTGTTGTGTCCTGGCTGGAGGTGCGTGCCCATGGATTGTCCCCATGCTGTCCCCACAAGTGTGTGTGTGCCACCATGTCCCACCATGCTTGATCCATGCTCATGTCTGGGGCCTTCAAATCCTGGGAGAGATCCCTGGATCCCTCAGAGCCCGTGGAGTTGTGGTTTGAGTAGAGCTTTGGGTCTGATGAGGAGTGTCTGAGGGAGGTGAGGGGCTCAGCCTGGAGAAAAGGAGGCCCAGGGGGGACCTTGTGGCTCTGTACAACTCCCTGCCAGGAGGGGACAGCCAGGATGGGGATCAGGCTCTGCTCCCAGGGAACAGAGACAGGACAGAAGGAAACAGCATCGAGCTGTGCCGGGGGAGGGTCAGGTTGGATTTGGGGAAAAGTTCTTCAGTGAAAGAGTGATCAGGTCCTGGCACAAATGCCCAGGGCAGTGGTGGAGTCACCATCCCTGGAATGTTTGGAAGATGTGTGGATGTGGCACTTGGGACATGGGAAAGTGGTGAATGTAGCAGTGCTGGAGAAATGGTTGGAACTGATCTTAGAGGGCATTTCCAACCTTAATGATTCTGTGAAAAGCTCCATGGGTGCACCTTCCCTGTGCTGTGCCCATCAGGCACAAGGATGCCCACAGGCCACCTCTGCAAGGTACAACCAGACCCAGAACCCCACGTGGACATTCCGCTTCGATACTGGGCTCTGGAGAGGGTGGCCTTGCCCCTGGCACAGGAGCCAGGGTGGCAGTGCCAGGCAGTCACTGTGTCCCTGTCCCCAGCTCTGGGTGGGGATGCCAGCCTGGTACGTGGCTGCGTGCCGGGCCAACGTCAAGAGCGGGGCCATCATGTCAGCCCTGTCGGACACCGAGATCCAGCGGGAGATCGGCATCAGCAACGCCCTGCACCGCCTCAAGCTGCGCCTGGCCATCCAGGAGATGGTGTCCCTCACCAGCCCCTCTGCACCGCCCACGTCCCGCACGGTGAGTGCCCCTCACCCCCTCTGACAGCCTGCTCCTTCCCTTAGGAGCACTCTGGCAAACGGCGTGTCCTCTCATGGGCTGCTCAAACCACTGGACACTCATTCCCCACTCACATGGGCTTGTCTGCAGAGGCCAACCCTGCAAAGAGCAGAACTCAGGGCCTGGCTGCCCTGGAGAGGATAAAACTCCATCCAAAGAGCAGAAATACGAATGTTCCTGAGGTACAGGGCCAGCTTGGTTGCACACAGCCTCTTTCCCAATAATTTCAACACAAGCCTTTTCCATCTGAAATTCCTGGGGCAACTGAGAGCACCTGCAGATCCCTGCCCTTGGCTGGATGGAGGGATTGTGTCTTTTGCTGGTCCCCAGGGGCAGTGAGGGGTGGCCAAGTAATGCCAAGCCATGTGTAGAGCTGCACCTGGCAGAAGGAAGGCTGCTGTGTCCCCCCCAGATGATTGTGTCTGGGATCACAGCTGATGGGGATAGGCCTGCAGGCTCCTTGAGCATCCCACTGAAGTGGAAAGGGAGCTAAATGAAGGTCCTTGCTGTGCTGTCTGTGTGTGGCTGCATGCACAGCCCAGTGGGGTGTCCCCAGGACAGTTCTAAGCACAGGGTGGTCTGATCCTCCACCATCCAGAGCTGGGCTTGATTCCAGCACAGCTGGTGCTGACAGAGGGTGGACATGAGCCCAGGTGTGCTCAGGTGGGCAAAAAGACCAAGAGAACCTGGGCTGTCCCAGCACTGTGGTGGCAGCAGGCCCAGGGCAGTCCCCATTCCCTGTGCTGACACTGCTGGGGTCACACCTGGAGTCCTGGGGGAGTTCTGGGCGCTTCATGAACAGAGACCTGGAGGGGCTGGAGCGTGTCCAGAGAAGGGAATGGGGCTGGGGAAGGGACTGGAGCCCAGGAGTTGCTGAGGGAGCATCTGGGTGGCTCAGCCTGGAGAAAAGGAGTCTCAGGGGAACCTTCTGGCTCTGCACAACTCCCTGCCAGGAGGGGACAGCCAGGATGGGGATCAGGCTCTGCTGCCAGGGAACAGGGACAGGACAGGGTGAAACAGCCTCAAGCTGTGCTGGGGGAGGTTCAGGCTGGATATTGGGAGAAATTTCTTCCTGGAAAGGGTGGTCAGGCCCTGGCACAACTACACAGGCCAATGGTGGGGTCACCATCCTTGGAAGTGTTCAAAAAATGAATGAATGTTGCACTTGAGGACATGGTTTAGTGTTGAACACGGTGCTGGTGCTGGGCTGAGGGCTGCACTTGATGATATTTCAGCCTTAATAATTCTGTGATTCCATGACTCCATGGTGATTGTGAACTGAGGCCATGTTTCTGTGCTGGTTTGCTCTGACCCCTCGGCTCTTCCCTGCAGTCCTCTGGAAATGTCTGGGTCACCCATGAGGAGATGGAGAACATGGCAACTTCCACCAAGACGGTGAGGCTGGGCAGCCCGCGGGGTGTTAGGGCCTGAGCAGCTCCAGGTGTGTTAACCCAGAGGGAAGGGGATCCCTCATATGTCAGCTCCTGGCCAGCACCCTGCAGCTCTTTAGAAACCCTCTTTCAACCTTTAATGTCCCAGCAATTTCTAAAAGTATCTAAAACCCTATCAGATTTTTTTCCCTTGTGGGTTTTTTTCCCCACTGGGTTTCTAGAGCAGAGGAGCTCTGGCTGTTTGGGAGTTAAAGACAAAACCCAGGAGTGATCTCATGTGTCTTGAGATCCTCAAGTCATTCTGCACCCAAGGAAGGGTCTAATCCCCCACTGACCTCAGCACACCCAAACATTGTCCCCACCATGTGTCCCTGCCACTGGCTGACAGCCTGGGCTCCCTTGCAGGGATGTGTCCATGCTCCCCAAAGCTCTGGCTCCTTTGGAGAGATGGAGCCACACTCCCTTCAGGTTGGAACCTGATCACCCCTTACCTGTGTCTCAGAGCAGGGCAGCCTTTTGGATTGTGTGGGAATTGTGTGGGAATTGTGTGGGAATTGTGTGTCCAGGGCCAGGCTGGAGCACCCTGGGATAGTGCAAGGTGTCCCTGCCCATGCCAGGGGTGGAATAGGGTGAGCTTTAAGGTCCCTTCCAATCCAAACAAGTTTGGGGTTTTTGAAATAGACATTTTATTGAAGCTTTTGTTGAGTTGCAGGGATGTGCCACTGTCCCTTGGCAAGTCCTGTGAGACTGAGGAAAACCAGCATGGGTTGGCAAAGGAGGAAATAGCTACAAAATCAGCTTGGGCAGCCCCCTGTGGGTTGTGACAGATGTACTGAATCTCAATTCTCTTTCATCCATCTGACCTGGGAGGATCTAAGGACTCTCCATGTTTCCCAGGGAAGATGGACAAGCCCCAGGGTTGGTGCCAAGTCCAGCCCAAGCCTCATCATATCCTCACTTCCTTCTTCTCCTTCTCTCCTTCTCTCCTTCTCTCCTCTCCTTCTCTCCTTCTCCTTCTCCTTCTCCTTCTCCTTCTCCTTCTCCTTCTCCTTCTCCTTCTCCTTCTCCTTCTCCTTCTCCTTCTCCTTCTCCTTCTCCTTCTCCTTTTCTCCATCCTGTATTCTTGGTTAGAGATGGGGTGGGAACCAGCGAGGTCAGGGTGTCCCCAGCACCCTGGGGACGAGGCTGAGGTCCCCAAGCTGTAGGGGTGAGCCGTGTCCTCTCCGTGTCCCTCTGAGGTCCCTCAGGGGTGCCACGCTCGGTGCCCTGTTCTGGTCAGGGCCAGCAGGTACTGACTGCACTGTCCTTTCTGTTGACATGCTGCGTGTGTCACACGTAGGACACAGAGGAAGGCAGCTGGGCACAGGTGAGGTCCCCGGGCCACCCGTGTCCGGGGGGGTGCATGGGGCGGTCGGGGAGGAGCTGGACGTCCCAGGAGATGTCTGGGGCAGTGATGTTCACTGAGGCTTTGGAGGCTTTACCTGCACCCCATGGCTGCTCCTCTGGGCCATCTCTCAGGTACAGGATGTCCTCCTGGGCCCCTCTCTGCTCCAGGCAGTGGCTTTTCCTGGGACCTCTGTGAGATCCAGAGCCTGTGTTAAGAACCCCCACCTGTGTGACCACCCTGCATGCGGGCAGGATTCCAGCTGCACGTTTACTTTTTCACCTATTTTGTAGCCCTGAGTCCATAGAGATGATTTTTATGAACCAAAAAGGTGGGAGGAAAGAGTCCTGCTTGGATCCATCTCTTCTGGTTTTATCCCTCTTAAATGCTTTACTTTCCTTCTGGTGGATTTTAATTCATTTTTAGACCCAAAATCAGTTTGCAGTGGAAGTGAATGGGTGGGGTCTTTTCCCAAAACTGACCTTTTTGTTTGTTTTGAAGTCATAAAATAGAGATTACTGAAGCAGAGATTCTTAAAAATGAGTTGGGAATGCACTGGAACCTGTTTCTCAGTTGTTTCATCTTTCAATGAATGTGATTTTTCCGGAGGCAGCTGCTCATAAAGTCCGGTTGTCCCTTGCCAATACTTTTGGCCACTGCTTTGTTTCCTGGGGGGGCATGAGCAGGACACAGATCATGGCCAGCAGGACTGTTCCCTCCAGCTCCTTCAGTACCACCCAGGGCTGGGCTTAGCCTCAGGACAGTGACCCTCTTGGGCTGTCACTGATCTCCTGGGGTTCTGCAGCTCCACCAAGCCCTGGGTTCTCCCCAGCTTCTCCATGTGCTTCTCTGCAGACACTGGCCTATGGGGACATGAACCACGAGTGGATTGGGAACGAGTGGCTGCCCAGCCTGGGTCTGCCCCAGTACCGCAGCTACTTCATGGAATGCCTGGTGGACGCGAGGATGCTGGACCACCTGACCAAGAAGGACCTGCGGGTGCACCTGAAGATGGTGGACAGCTTCCACCGGTGAGTCCTGGCCCCTGCAGCTTCCTAGTGTGCACATGGAGCAGAGGAGGGGGGGATTTGAGGGATTCTCCCCTGTCTTGGGCAGCCCTGGATGGCTCTTCCAGGCTGGACTCACCACCCTCAGCTGGGGCAGCTCTTACAGGCAGAAGTTCTCTTTCACCTCACTCCCTGCTGCAGAATGACAGAGGACCAGGCCTTCCCCTGGCTATGGAGCAAACTGTGGGCAAAACTTCAGGCTCTTCCCACCTGGTGCTCCACTGCTGCCTGCCAGCAGCCCAGTGGAGAAGGCTGTTCCAATCCCAGCCATGGCATCCCCTGCCAGGGGGTCCCACCCTGACCCATGGACCTGCCAGGGTCACCTCCAGGGGTGAGCCCTTCAGCCTGGAGCAGCCCCCATGGGCTGGTTCCCCCTCCCCTCTCCAGCCACCGAGTCTGAGGATCATTTGGATCTGTGCACTCTCAGGCAGCTGGAACAGGCTCAAACTGATGGGGTGGGAATTGCCATGGAAGGGAGAGGACGTTCCCCGTTTTCCAGCTTTGGGTTGTGTCTGTCCTGACCCATCCCTGACCTTGGGCGTGTGGGGAGCATGCAGAGAGGGAGGTCCCTAGCCGGGTCCCCCCCAGCCAGGTGTCCTGGAGGGCTGGGAGGGACCCCGGTGTCCCCTGTGTTGTTGCAGCACCAGCCTCCAGTACGGCATCATGTGCCTCAAGAGGCTCAACTACGACCGCAAAGAGCTCGAGAGGAGGCGAGAGGAGACCCAGCATGAAATCAAAGGTCAGCACCCCCTGTCCAGCCCCAGAGCAGGACAAGATACCCAGGGCTGGTCTCTCTTCCATCTCTTATTTTTAACCCATTATTTGAGCCCACAGGGCTGTTCTCCTGAGGGACCTTCCTGCTGCTCCAAGTGTTTTATCAGTTGACCCCAGGCAGGCATGAGGAGGGAGCAGGGGAAAGCAAAGATGCAGCCTGAGCATCCCATGATCTTCTCTGCCCACTTCACTACTCAGGACATCCCCAGCTTGCTCAGCCTCCCCTTCCTTGTCACTGTCCTGAGATTCCCTGTGCATCTGGCTGCTGCTTGGATTACATCTCATTATTGATAATGCCCCTAATTACATCAGCAGCCGTGGGTTCTTAAGATTAATTTTCACAGTTGTTTTCTGCCTGTTATTTCAGCTTTGAGCTTGGTAAACTGAACTGAGCTCTTCATGGCACTCGAGCTCCTGGTTTTACTGCTGGCTTGGGAAGGAGAGTCCCAGGATCATCCTGGGGCAAAGGGAAAGGGCCTCAGGACATCCCCAGAGCTCCTCAGAGCCACGAGTGTGGTGAGAGGTGGCCCTGAGCCATGTCCTTGCTGTCGTGCAGATGTGTTGGTGTGGACTAATGACCAGGTCATTCACTGGATCCAGTCCATCGGGCTGCGTGAGTACGGGAACAACCTGGTGGAGAGTGGCGTGCACGGGGCCCTGCTGGCCCTCGACGAGAACTTTGACCACAACAGTCTGGCCCTTGTGCTGCAGATCCCCACCCAGAACACCCAGGTAGGAGCAGGGTCCTTGGGGGATTTTGGAGGAGAGTGGCCAGTGTGGGACACGGCTGTGGTGTGACAGCACCAGTGTCACCAGCTCAGCTCTCCCTTTCAAAGCAGAGCTCTCCTATGGCACAGGGGGGCTCTTTCTGTCACACTCAGGCTTTCCTAGGATGGAAGTTTGGGCTGGAAGCACATTCCCCATTGATGAGGCATAATAATTTTTTTGTTGCAGGCTCGACAAGTGCTAGAGAGGGAGTTCAACAACCTGCTCGCCCTGGGCACAGACCGGAGGCTGGATGATGTGAGTGCCAGACCTCTCCATGTCCTGGGACACTGGGGAAGGACCTGGGGGTGTTGGAGGATGAGAAGCTCAGTGTGCCCCGGCCATGTGCTCTGGCAGCCCAGAACCCCACACTGTGTGTTGGGCTGATCCCCCAGCATGGGCAGCAGGGCAGGGGGGATTCTGCCCCTGTGCCCCACTCAGGTGAGACCCCACCTGCAGAGCTGCCTCCAGCCCTGGCCTTCCAGCACAGGAAGGACGTGGAGCTGCTGGAGAGAGTCCAGGGGAGGTGCTCTGAGGGCTGGAGCTCCTCTGCCATGAGCCCAGCATCCCTTGGAGTCTTTACTGGGACTTCTGTGTTGATATCTCCAAGGCATCAATCTTTGCAGGCAGGCAGTAGAGAGGGGACATGAGCTGGAAAGGATCCAATGCCATGGGATCCCAGCAGGATGTCCTGTGTCCTTGGCCCAGTTTGATCCCGCACTTTGCTAGAGCTGGTCACCAAGGACAGGTGTTAGCTGGTGTCTCCTGGGGCAGGAGGGGCTGGCACTGACCACTCTGTTCCCTGCAGGGCGATGACAAAACCTTCCGTCGGACGCCGTCCTGGCGCAAGCGCTTCCGCCCGCGGGACGTGCACAGCATCAACCTCCTGAGCGGCTCTGCTGAGACCCTCCCCGCCGGCTTCCGTGTCACCAGCCTCGTGCCACTGCCCCCTCCAGCCGCTCCAGCCAAGAAAATGCCCCCGGAAGGTGGGTCAGCCCTTCTCCACAGGGTCCCCTCCCACCCCTGATCGGTCTTAGGGAACGTGGGGAAGGATGGATGTGCAACCAGGAGAGGAAAGGGATAGGAAGGGACAGGGAGGAGGAGAAGGAGAAGGAGAAGGAGAAGGAGAAGGAGAAGGAGAAGGAGAAGGAGAAGGAGAAGGAGAAGGAGAAGGAGAAGGAGAAGGAGAAGGAGAAGGAGAAGGAGAAGGAGAAGGAGGCAGGCTTGATGGTCACCCAAGATGTTCAATCCACGTGATCCTGGAGCTGTGGCCTGCTGGAAACATTTTTTCTGGAAGGATTACTTGTGTGATTTCTTGTTATGTACTACAAAGACAAATGAGGGGCCAGGACTGGGGCATGAAATGGGATATGTCACCCAGGGGCTGCCAGGATGCAGGAGCCCAGTCTGGGCAGTTTTCTCCATTCTGCCCTTTGGGAACCACCCCCTAAGGGATGTATTAACTGGCTTCATTTGCCTGAGCTCTCCCAGGGCTGGCAGGACCTGCTGGGACACCCTGGCTGCCTGTGCTGCTGCCTGTCCTGTTTTATGGCCCAGGATCTGCCCTCATGACACAGCTCCTTTCTTCAAGGTGTCTTGGTCCCTTCCAAAGCTGTAGGGAGGCAGAAGCTCCAGCCAGGTCACCCTAATTTGTCCTCTGGACCAGGCACCCTGGTCCCACTACCCCAAGGCTCCCCACTGGAGCAAAGCTGGCTTCAGCAGACTCAGAAATGAGGGTGGGAATGAGAATTAAAAAGTTCTGCACTCACCTTCCAACTCCAAACCTCAGGCTCAGCTCTTCTCCTGCCTCCAGTTTTGCTCAAATGTCCCAGCTTTCCATCCAGCAGTTTGGGTCAAGATTCTGTTTGACCTTTTCCACCCCATCCCTGGAAGCTGCAGTTCCCACCTGGCTGAGGAGAGTGAAACCTGGGACAGAACCCCACGCACAGGGGGAGCAGGGTGCTCGCTGCCCAGGAGCAGGGATGACAAGTGGCAATTTCCCAAATACTCCGGAGCCTCAGGCACATCCAAGCTGGCCAGATGTGGCTCTTTGACCCTCATCTTCACGTGGCTGCAGTGCACAGATGCTGCTCAATAAACACAGGATTTGGGGAAGCTGGGGGCTAAATGGAGCAGTCACTAATTGCTTTGCTCTTTGGTTCCTTCCCAGTCGGTGCCTCCGGGTCCCCAAGGCTGGAGACCTCCACGGTCCGGACGTACTCGTGCTGAGGGTCAGCGAGATGGGAGCCAGGCCCTGGGTGAGTGCCTGGAGCTGGCTGGGGACCCAGGGCAGAGCAGGAGCCCCAGCAGCACCCAGGCAAGGGGCTGCCCTCACCAGGGATTGCCTGGCCATGGAGGGCGAGGGAGACCTCAGTGTGGGGGAGCTGCTGCTGCTGCCTGAGGCTCACAGAGACGAGGCAGGAGGGATGCTCAGCATCCCACCACATCTGTCCACTCTTGGACAGGTGACTCCACTGGGGACCCCAGGATGCCATCCCATGAGGGTTCCACTTGGGTGAGGGAAGGATAGTCAAGCACTTCAGGGAGGCTCCTGGGATCCTCCTGTGCCCTGGGCCATGGTAACCCTTAGCCAGGAGGATCCAATGCTGATCCCATCTGGGTTTGTTGGCCGGTGGGTGCAGGGGTGGAGCTGAGCCAGCATCCTCACAGGGCCTTTCCCACTTTGCTCCTCAGCAAATCCCCATGTCCATATGCCACGTGCTGGCTGCCTTCCAGGATGAGAGCCCAGCCTGTGCCTGTTCCTCGTCCCAGACCCACAGACTGTCACTGCTGTGGACCGACAGGACCTGCCCCTCCTGCTCGTGCACCCCCTGCTTCTCCCGGCTCCCGTGGCTCCCCCCGTGGCCTGTCCCCCGCTTCTCCCCGCGCTGGCTGGGCCATGGATGCTGTCCTGGTGTGCCATGGATGCTGTCCTGGTGTGCCATGGATGCTGTCCTGGTGTGCCATGGATGCTGTCCTGGTGTGCTGCAATCTGGGGAGCAGCACAGACACCCCAAAGTGTCTGCGATGTCTGGAAGCCTCTCTTCCGCCTGGTTCATGTTGCCAATCTGCCTCGGGGCTGCACGGACTCGCCTGAGCCCTGAGCTTCAGGGATGCTGCTGCCCACGGGACTGAAAGCCAAGGAAGATTCAGGCTCATGAAAATCCTCCCTGCAGGGAGGCCGGGCAAGGAGCTGCCCCCATGGGGGATGGGGCAGTGGCAGGGCTGGTGCTGGGTGGGACGAAGGGGGCCCAGCATGAGCTGAGGAGGGCAGTGACTGCCCAGGGCTGGCAGGCAAGGTGCTGATTTTGGTGCTGTCAGGTGCCCTGTTCAGGGGGGCTGTGCCTGGGACCGCCCCTCACGGCTCACAGGGACCGTGCCCAGCACCCACGGGAGAGGGGACCCTCCTTGGGTGCCTGGGGATACAACGGGAGCCCCCCACCCCCGGGACGTGCCCACCCTTCCCCTTGGGTACAGAGGAGATGCTCTCCCCTCCTGCCTCCTGGCAGGGGTCACTCAAGGAGGCTCTTCACTCTTCCCATTTCTCCCCCGTAGGGTAGGATCTCTTTGTCTCCTCATGCCACGTTTGCCTTGTGTGGCCCTTATTTCCGATGTGATATTTATTGATGGCTGGAATGACCTTATACTTATCATGTGCTGTCTGGAAGTGCAATATCTGAGAGACTCTACAGTCACAACGTCTTTTCGGTGTATCATTTGCCTAATACAGTATTAAATATTTTTTTAATTTGAAGAGTCAGTGAGCCCTTTATATTGATGCCCTATTTCTTTCATCATATTATTGGTACTGCATGGACTCCAAACCCTGGATCGGGTCAGGAAAGGATGTATGTGTGTTCCAATAAACAGGATTTTAAAACAGTGCTGGCTTTTGAGCCTTCTTTGTAGAGCCCAAATTAAAAATAACATTAATCTGTAGCTCCTGCAATACCTTTGGGGCACAAGGCTGAACCCCAGTTAAACAGCAGTGAAATCACTGGTCTGTGTAGGGCTGATTGAAGTGTGGCACATCCTGTGCTGAGGTCCAGCTGGATTTACTGATATGAAAATCTCCAACCTGGATTTGGGGATTGTGGAACTGGGGAGACCAACACAGGGCAGGACAACAGTAACAGAGACCCCAAGCTGTCCAAACAAGAATGCCTTTATTTAAAAAAGAATCCAAATAAGTTAGCAAAAATAATCATTAAAAAACCCTAAATGGTAACCACACACAGCGTTCAGTAGGAAAGACAGGCGCGCTCCGGGTCAGCAGCACCGGACACCGGCCGGAGAGAGACCTTGGTCAAGGAGATCTGGAAAACTCAGCAAAGCCAACCCAGCACACACATTGGCCCCAAAGCCACCCGGCCCTGGCCAGGCAGCAGAGCAGGGCCTGGCCCCAGGGAGCCCCTCCAGGACCTTCGGCCGCTGCCCCATCCCAGCTCTGCCTGTTCAGCTCGGCAGGAGCGCTCCGCAGGGAGTGGGAACGGAGCCCAGCGGTGTCAGCTGGGCAGCCCACGGCACTGGAGGGGTGGATGTGATTTCCAGCTCTTGGACCCTTCTGGCACCTCATTCCCACCTCGTTACTCTCCCGAGGAGCTGCCGGGGTTTGCACCAGCTCAGTTCTGACCCTGCTCCTCCAGAAACGTCACGGCCACGTCCCCTACGGCAATGCTCTCCACGATGGAAGACAGCGAGTGGAGGTTGCGCTCCTCGGCTGCCTCTTCAGCCAGGAGGTGATCTGGGGAGACAGGAGGGTGAGGACACTGAAGGGAAAGGGATCTGGGGAGACAGGAGGGTGAGGACACTGAAGGGAAAGGGATCTGGGGAGACAGGAGGGTGAGGACACTGAAGGGAAAGGGATCTGGGGAGACAGGAGGGTGAGGACACTGAAGGGAAAGGGATCTGGGGGGACAGGAGGGGGAGGACACTGAAGGGAAAGGGATCTGGGGGGACAGGAGGGTGAGGACACTGAAGGGAAAGGGACCTGTGGGAGCAAGGGGTGAGCACACTGCTGGGAATGGGGACTGTGTGCTGGAGATAGCTCCTGGTTCTGCTCAGGGGGGTGTAGGTTAGTGGTGAACATGGCTGAGGGTTGGACATGATGATCTTTTGCACCCTTAACAATTTGCTGATTTTTTCCTATGATTCCCATAATCCCCCACATGGCCAGAGTGACCTAGGAGCCTGCTGCCAGCCCCCCACCCTGGAGAAGTGAGAGAGCAACAACTTCTGGAACTTTTGGACCCTGAATAGGTTTTAATCTCCACTGGAAAATGAGATTTAAGTTTCTGCCTTCTGGAGGAAATAACAGGTGGATTTGGCAGGGTGGGGATAATGGCAAGCATGGAAAAAAAAGCAGCAGCTGCTGAGGGGGTGCAGGGAGAGAAGAAGGTCTGGGGCAGCGCTGCACAGCCATGCCCAGCAACACAGCAAAGCCAAGGGATGGCAGCAGATGAAACCCTTGCTGGGGATGAAGGCACCAGGGCCCAGGCTTCTGCAGCCCAATTCCTCAGCTCCCAAGGGTTGATGTTTTGGTGAAATCAGGGCTGGGAGAACCCTGAACTGCTGAGCATTGAGCCAAGGAGGTGCTGTAGGACTCCTGAGTTGATCACTGCAGCAGTGAGATGAGAAGAGGAGGAGAAGATTCCTTCTGTCTTTTACTCCAGGCATCTCCTGCTCTGCTCCAGGGCTGCGGGGTCCCTGCTGTTCCCAGTCCCTGCAGAGCCCAGCGGTGCCAGGGGGTGAGGAGAGCCTTACCTGAAGGGTTGGTGCTGAACTCCAGCTGGCTGCTCCAGGCGGGGCTGCAGGAGGAGCTGCCGGACCCGCACTCGCTGGCTGCCTGCAGGAGCCCAGAGCAACCGTGTTTCATTTCCTCAGCCCCAAACCCCACCAACATCCCCAAAAACACCCCGGGGCCCCTCCCACAGCACAACATCCCTGTGGAGGGGGGCACGTCCCTCCCCACCTGGAGGAGCCAACAGCACCCCCGGGCCAGGAGCTTCCTTAACCAAAAAGGCTGAAAAACCTCATTTTTTGGGGGCAGTGGACACAGAGAAATGGGGCTCCCCGCTCACTGCAGTTAAATAGGTGTCTCTTTCCCCACTGATTACGAAAAAGGGCTGGAGATGAACAAATGTCCTTGGGCAAAACACCTTTTTGCTGAGAATCACCTAATCAGGCTCATAAAAAATGACAGATTGGGTACCCTCAGGCCATCCCGAGAGGGAGGACTGGGAAAAGCTTTTGGCAGTTTGGTTTGTGGATCTGGGGATGCGTGGTTATTTTGGGGAAAAAACAGCATTAAAAATGAGAACATTATTCAGCAAAGCTAGAATTCACTTTGTTTGGAGTGTGTCTTTATCTGGGAGTGGGTGTCAGCTCAGGTAAAACCCTGATTTTATATGGTTTATATCAGCAACTCCACAGACCCAACTCTTTGTAGCAGACTAGAAATGGCACTTTGACTCTACAAGCTCATGGTAGCACGGGATAATTAATTAACACTTGGACTTACTTCCCATTAAAGCAGGAAATTCTTACAGATATGATCTATAGAAAACATTGGCTTTTGCACCAATATGTGAACCCCTGGCTACACCTGGCAGAAAGGGCAGGTCAGAACAGAAGGGACAAAGGGACAGCTCAGCACAGTTTTGGCCACATTTGCAAATCCATGTGGATTCTGGGAAGTGGAAATTGGATTCTGGTATCCAAGAGGACTCTGGCATTAAAGTGGATACTGGGAAGTCCCACAATTATGTAGGATGGAGCCTAAATACTTTTTCATTTCTTTATTCAGCATTAAATTGGAACACCTGGATACCTACTGGTTTGGCCCTTAAATCCCTTAGTCTGGAAGGGGATGTGGGATTCCCTCTTCTGGGCCTCTGACAAAGCCCTTCCATATCTATATCTGTATCTGCATCAATCTATGTCTATATCTCTATATCTCTATATCTATATCTATATCTGTATATATGTACCTGTAGCAGTACCTATCTGCATCTACATCTCTATCCATATATATGTCATTTTTATACCCATATCTACATTACCTATTTCTGTATCTAGATCATCCTTATCTAAATTTTCTATATCTTCATAACCTGTATCTATAGATATACCTGAATGTCATTTATGTTATATATCTAATCTATATAATCTTTATCACTGTCTATATTATCTATATATATATTTATATAATCTATCACTGTAATTTCTATCTCTACAGCTATCATACCCATATCAATTTCATCTCTAATTTATCTATATGATCTCTAGATCTATAGAAGCCATATCATCAATGCTTATACCCACACATACCCCTACATCTATCGATTCCAGCTGTATCAATCATCTCTCCCTACACCTGCAGCTGAAGGTTCAGCTCTCTGCATTCCCAGATCCAAACTTCAGAGCAGCAAGGGAGCACATGCCCAGCCACCCACAGGAGCCAGGGGGCAGATGAAAATACCTCTCAAAACTTTGGTTAAATGACCAAACCCTTGTGGAGTGACAAGTGCTGGCTCTCTGGGGTTGGTGGCAGGACACAACCACTGAGTGCCTTCAGCCAGTGCCCAAATCGGCCCCTTCAGTCCCAGAGGTGTCCCTGTGCCCTCTCATCCCTTCCTCTGCCTGGGTGTGAGCAGGGAGTGTTAATTTTATTTTATATTTTATGCTTTATATTTTTTGTATATTTCGTATTTGTATTTATATTTTTGTATATATGATATGATACATGATGTGATATGATATGATTACATTACGTTATATTAGGTTATGTTTTCATTTAGTTTAGTTCTGTGTTATTTATTTTCACCATTCCGTCCCCAGCCCAGGCCCGTGTGGCACTCACAGGCACAGCCCCAGGGCACCCATTCCCAGAGCCAGGGCTGTCCCTTTCCCGCAGGGCTGTGAGCGCTTGGCAGGGTTGGATCATTGTCCCCGTGCCCCCTCAGGACACACTCACTCGTGTCTGTCTCAGCCCAGAGCTGGGGTCTGTTCCCCCCGCAGGACCCAGCGCCCCCGAGCTCCTGCTTGGGGTCACCCATCGCCCCATGGAGCAATGAACCCACAGGGAATCGTCCCCTGTGGCATCACCCCAAAACTGCGATGGCATCAACCCCTTCAAGCATCGTCCCATAGAGCATCAGCCCATGGAAAGTCACCTCCATGGGACACTGTCCCCACAGAGCCCTTCTCCCACGGAGTGTCACCCCGGAGCGCCACCGCGCCCATGGAGCCTCATCCCCACGGGGCACCACCCGGGGACAGCGGGGGACAGCGGGGGACAGCCTGGGGACAGCCTGGGGACAGCCTGGGGACAGCGAGGGACAGCGGGGGACAGCCTGGGACAGCCTGGGGACAGCGGGGGGACAGCGGGGGACAGCGGGGG